CAGGTTCTTGGCCGGCCGACGTGGTTTAGACGACAGCTCACAATCAATTCGTTAGCTCACCTGTGTCTCAGCGCCTTACAACATACGTATATATGTATGTACGTGTATGTGCTTACGTTAACGTCTCGCTGTTGTAGAGATTGTATAGTCTAAACCACTTTAATCACTCAACTCAGTAGCTCAGCTATTTATTGAGATCGACTTCAGTTGATGGAAGAGTTACGTACGCTCAATATGAGTGAAAATAAAATAAAAAAAATTTAATAAATAGACGAATAAATTAAATCAAATAAATTAAATTAAAATGCGATAAAATAAAAAAAAATAAAATAAAATAACTTAAGCTAAAATTAAATTAAATTAAATTAAAATAAATAAAATGAAAGTGAACGACATTAAATTAAAATAAATTTACAAGAAATAAAAGAAAAGAAAAACAAAATTAAAAAAAAAAATAAAATAAATTAAAATAAAATAAGATAAAATAACATAATTGAATTATTGAATAAATAAAATTGCATGAAATAAAAGAAAATAAAATAAAATAACATAAAAATATAATATAATAAAATAAAAGTACTAAAAAAATTTAAAATAAATAAAATATACCAAATTTAATTAAAACTTAGCAAAGTAAACAAAGTTAAATAAAATTATCTTAAGTTAAAATAAAATAAAATAAAACAATAAAATAATATAAACATATTAAAATAAATTAAATAAATAAAATAAAGAAATAAAATCAAATTAAATTAAGTAACATTAAATAAAATAATATAAAATGATATAAAACGAAATTAAATAAAATAGATTAAAATAAAAACAAGGAAAAAATAATTAAAAAATAATTTATTAAAATTAAATAAATAATTTAATGTTAAATTATAAAATAAAATGGAATAAAATTATACAAAATAAACAAAAAAATTCAATTAAATTAAATGTATGAATAAAACACTATAAAGAAATAAATAAATTTAAATTAAATAAAATAAATTAAAATAAAAAACAAGCAAAAACTAAAAAATAATTAAAAATAAATAAATGCAAAATAAAATAGAATAAAAATAAATCAAAAAACTTAAAATAAATAAATTATATAAAACAAAGACAAAAAATAAAAGAAAATAATAAATAACACAAAAAAATCAAGTAAAAGAAAATAAAAACATTAAAAAAAAAATATCAGGTCAAGTAACAAGTCATCCACTGTTTTTGCAACAAATTGAAGGATTCTTTATTTGTGTCAAATATGCACCATTTTGCTCGACAACTTTTTGCCATTTCGTAGGTAATGTCATTATGTCTTTCCCATAGGAACCCTTGTCCCTATCGGCCAAAAATTGGGACAATCGACTTCTTTGGCAGTTAAATCGTTTACGAGGTCCGGACTGTTGGTGAATGCATAAGAACCTTCCAACCAGGCTCTCGGTGCTTATGACGACTCACTACCGTTCTGTGTAGTCTGGCGTTGTCCTGATGGAACACAACTCCTTCCTGTAATGTCCAAATCTGGGCGCTTCTGTGCAAGTACTTTCTTCAGACGGTCCAATTGGTGACAGTACAAGTCCGAATTAATAGTTTGGTCATAGAGAAGCAGCTCGTAGTGGATGTTCCTTGCCTGTGGACCATTTGAGAGGGCTCACTGCACCTGCAACCATACCCATTTTCGTTTGACGTTGGCGTAAGTGCCCCAGTTTTGATCCCCAACCATCCACTTTTAAAACGGGTCGCTTTTCTTACGATTCGGTAGCGATTCGAGGATCGAAATTTTGTGTTTGAAATTTTTTCCCGAGTTTCTTTGTGTATCTAGCCTTTTTATAGTGGTTCAACGAAGTCGAGTTAACCTGTTGAAGAGGGTAGTCGAAGATTCGGTATTTGTAGTTGTAGTTATGATGCAGTGAAGTAGGACTCGGTGGAACTTCTTGCTTAATTTTTGGGAGTTTTGAATTTTGGCTGTTGACTACTCGGGTCCACCTCTTCACACTCGGTGATAATGTAGAACCATCAGTCTCCGATGGTAACACTGCGTGGTCAACCGTGTTAAGGGCAGATCCACTGCTACTAGTATAGTTGGCGCGTAGTGTTCGATTTTCTCTAAAACCAAGGACTATTTGGGTGTTTGTGGTGTTGAATGAAGATGTGGTGCTATGATCTTTGCGAAAATCATGCCGATGTACTGCTGGCCCCAGTTGGTGAGTATAAGACAAAAGCAGCAAGATCTCAAGTGTGCCCGATTCTAGGGGAAAACTAGATGCCGGTCAATATGGTTCTCCTTGGACAACTGTCTTACACGGGGACCACTCTATTCTGGGTATTCTTTGAGCGGGTCAAAGGCAAATTGTGAAGCTTGATGAGGAATTCACCCACCCACTTAACGCAGATGATTTACCAATTACGTACTTTTTAAGTCTGTGGCAAATCCATCGCCTTTTGCCTGCCCTATAACTCCGTGAACGTCTCCCCTCAAGAAATAGAAAAAGATAGAAATATTTGAGTTTGTGCATACCACTGTCTGTTGCAACTCGTCGCTTCAGGGTGTGGAAATTTTCGCCCGATCAGCGATTGCGCCAGGAGAGGAGCAGCAGGATCTTAAGTGTGCCACTTGTGCTGGTTTGTCCCACATCTATCTGGGGTCTAAATGCGAGTTCGGTGAAATACACCAAAAGAAAAACCCTCATCACTTGTTCGCCACATTTTTATGCATTTTTTTTTTATTACTTTTAAAATAATTACACATTAAAAATTGAAGTTGATGCTTTTTTTTTTTTGTTTTTAGAGTCGTATTAGAGAACTTGTTACAATACTTTCTATTCAATACTTGAAGAATGTTGGCCAAAAGTACAATAGTTACGTACGTACATAGGTATAGTTTGATAAGTAAATGTGCTCATAATATCGAGAAGATTTTTGCTTTGTAAACACTATTTTGTCTAACTTTGATTTGCAATGTTTTTTTTTGTTTTGTTTTCGTTTAGTGTTTCTTTGCGCTATAAAGTTGTGCCAAAAAAAAAATAAAAAATTATAGAAATTTTTATATACTCGCATGAATTTGTTTTCAATCTGAGTTTGGCAAAGCAAATTTTTTTTATTTATTTATTTATTTGTTTGTTTGTTTGTTGCACACCAACACCATCGTATTTGCACTCAAATAGTTTGCTATTTCGATATTTGCACATAATTTGTTTTTTTTTTGTTTTGTTTTGTTGGTTTTTTAATATTTGTTTATTACTATGTTTCTTAATATTTAGTATATCTAAAGTTTCGTATACGGATTTTCTTTTCAATAAGGGATTGTTACACTTAATTCAAGTTATTTAATTATATATAATATATATATATATATATAGTATGTATATAGATAGATGCCTAAATTGTTTGTTGTTGCAATATTACGTATACATTTATTATTATTTTTTTTTAGTTGCGTATACACACTAGGGAGCAAAAGTGAACATATGTATGTATGAAGTTGAAGAGTGTATATAACACTGTAATGCTTTTAAAGCAATTAAAATTAAAAATTTAATAAGTTTTGTTTTAACTTATACATATATATGTACCTAAATAATATTTTAAGTTCCAAACAGAATTTATGATAAAAATAAGTAATAAAATATAAGCGAAATATATTATTCTTTGAAATTTATTAAAAGATTTATTAAAAAAAATAGAGTAAACATTAATGGTTTGCCCTTTTTAATTGAATTTAAAAAATTTACGCATACAGTGGATGAATTTTATGTTTAGTTGGAAATGCATAAATAAAAATTATTTAAAAAATTTGAATTTTTGTGTAAAATATATTTCAAAATTACTAATTAAATTTAAATGATTAAGCAAAATATCTCTGAGGAATTTTTTTAATTTAATTTAAATTTTTTTTAATGTTAATTAATTTTTTTTAATTTTAATTAATTTTTTTTAATTTTAATTAATTTTTTCATTTAGTTTTAATTTTTTTAGATCAATTTAGTTTTTTATTTAGTTTCATTTTTTATTCAATTTAAATTTTTTAAATATAATTTTATATTTTTATTTTCATTTTAATTTCTTTAATTTAATTTATGGTTTTAATTTAGTTTAATTATATTTTCTTTTATTTAAATTAATTTTTTTTATTTAATTTGAATTTTTTCAATTTAATATTAATATTTTTTATATTATTTTATTTTTTTTAATTAATTTTAAATTTTTTATTTAATTTTAATTTTTTTTAATCTAATTTTAATATTTTTAATTTAATTCTTTTTTATTTTATTTTAATTTTTTTACTTCATTTTTATTCCTTTATTTAATATTAATTTTCTTACTAATTATTAATTTTTTTAATTGATATACATTTTTTTTAATATTAATTTTCTTAAATCTCAACTTTTTTTATGTAATTTTATTTTTTTTTATTTAATTTTGTTTTTTTAATTTGATTGAACTCTTTTTTATTTAATTTATGTTTTTTAATTTGATTTCACTATTCTTAACATTAATTTTATTTTTTATTTTATTTTAATTTTATTTTTTAATATAATTTTAATTTTTTATTAAATTTTAGATTTTTTCAATTTATTTATTTAATTTTATTTTTTAATTGTATTTTTTTATTTTTTATTTAATTTCTTTTAATAATATACAATATATTTATGCAATTTTATATTATATATATTTTTTATCTAAGGTAATCATTTATAAATTTAATTTCTTTTCAATTTATTATTTTTATTTCAAATTTATATTATGTATATTTTTAATGTATTATAAAATAATTAAAAAAAATAAAGAATTTCAGAAAATTTAATTAAACAGAAATTAAATTTAAAAAGTAATTAAATACCAATCAAAATAGTATCAAATTAAATTTAAAAAAATAAATCAAAATACAAATATATTAGAGAAATTTAAATTAAAAAGAGTTAAATCAAAATAGTGAGCATCAATAAATTTTTAACTTGATTTGTTTTAATTAAAAAAAATGTATTACAAAACAAATTTGAAATAAAAAACACACAAAATACTCAGTGTTTTTTTTTTAATTAAATCACTTAAAAATATGCCCACTGTATGCCTTTATATATGTAGATCAAAGTGTTTTCAAAAGCGAATTCCAGTTGTTCGTTCACTTTTGCTCGTATACATTTGAATTGCTGCTGCGGTAATTTAAGCCGCCTCAAGGACTAAGATCCTGATGTAAAGTATGATCATAACCGCCCATACTGTTATCATACTGTTGCTGATCATAACCACCCGAACCCATCGGATAACCCATCGAATCCTGTGGTGGTGCTGGTGACATCATTGGTGTTGTGGTGCCGCTTGGTGGGCCAGCCATTGAATAGGGCGAAGCGCCAGCTGCTTTTTTAGCTGCATACAAATTGGCCTCTTCCTGTGCCTTGCCAATATTCTTTTTGTAACGAATGCGTTTGTTGCCAAACCAATTGGACACTTGGGAAACCTGCGGACAAGTGCCGAAGAAAAAATAATTTAAATTAACAAAAAAAATTTGCATCAAAGCAAATTGCATGTAAACTTACAGTTATGCCACATTTTCTCGCCAACTCCTCCTTAGCTTCCTCAGATGGATATGGATTACTCAAATGACTATAAAAGTATTCATTGAGTATTTCGGAAGCTTGCTTACTGAAATTACGCCGTTTACGTCTGGCGTCAAGGAACCGAGATCGTAGTATCATGACCGCTTCACACGTCGACTGTTTCAATTGCATTTGTATGGAACTGAATTTTTTGTGTATTATCTGTACCATACGTTCGATTTCCTTAGGTGTTATGGGTCTAAGGAAGGGAAGAAGAAGAAGATAAAATATAAATATACAAAAAAAAAAAATAAAAAATATTACAAAGATTGAGGCAATTTTCAGTTACCTAGTCCTACTTTGCTCGCGTAGCAAGTTCATAACGTGTGTGGTGAACTCATTGCACGCCTGCTCGTACTTCTCCAACTCTTGATGATATATCTGGCGAATTTGTGCAAGCTTGGCACGATAGTCCGAATGTTCAATTGCGTTGTCAGCACCATCGATTGACAATGATGAACCTATTTTTGATTTTTGATTTTTTTTTTGTAAATTTTTAGACTCGTTTTAGCATGTTTTTAAAAGAAATAAATCGCTTGTAATACATACCTTGACTTGCTGCAGCTGCCGAAGCGGCTGCTGCGCCACCGCCACCCTTTTCCGGTCCGGCAACGCCTTCAGCAATAAGCATATTATCCAGGCGCATAAGTTGTGGATCTGGTGGTTCTTCCTCTTGCGTATTGCGAATGGAAAGAACTACGGTATGGAAAATAGAAAGAAAAAAAAAACAATATTTATTGATAGATATAGGTTTTATATAGGTAAAAAAAATACAGTTCATTTTTGACTTTCCTATAAAAGAAAGCATGTAAGTGTTACAAGAAATGCTAGACCGAACAACGGATAGAGTCAAATTAAATACATAAATGCGTTGTAATAAGAAAAATTTTTTAAATGTATAAAAACTTCACAGCGCATTTTTTCGCATTTTCACCTCCCTTTAAGCGCTTGAATACTACTATGTAGCTTAGTACGTGTTACTATGATGCATATGCCTTACATTGTTGTGCTTTTTTCTTGCATTACGGCTTACAAAAAATGCCTTCAAGTTTTACTATTTCAAGGCATTTTTTCTAAATGTTCATTTTTCTGCATTTAAATTAACTATTTAAGCATAGCAGAAGTAGAATAAAATTCGACACTGCAACGGGCGCGCAAGTTTTTAAAGTATAATGAGCTTCCAAACGCAACTGGGGAATTGAATACTAAATTTTTTGCTGAACTAACACTGCGCATTCGGTTTTTTATTTTTTGTTTTCTTTATTTTTTTACATTTTTTTTATTTATTTTTTTTTATATATATTTCTTTAGTTATTTTTTAATTTATTATTTATTTTTTTTTTTTAATTTTTTTTTAATTTTTTTCTATTTTTTAATATTTTATTTTCTTTGATTTTATTTTTTTTCAATTTTTTTTTAATTTTTTTATTTTTTTTAAATTTGTTTTAATTTGTTTTAATTTGTTAAAATTTTTTAAATTTTTTTTTATTTTTTTTTTTAATTTTAATTTTTTTTTTTTAATTAACAAAAAAAATTAAAAGAAATATTAATTTAATTTTTTTTGTTAATTTTTTTTAAGTTTTTTTTAACTTTTATTTCTAATTTTTTATATTTTTTAACATTTTTTTCGAATTTTTTATATTTCTTTTTAAATTTTTTCTTAACTATTTCAATATTTTTTTTTTTTAATTTTTTTACTTTTTTAGTTTTTTATTTTTTTATTTTTTCAATTTTTAAAATATTTTAATTTTTGATTTTTAATATTTTATTTTTAATTTTTTTAATTTTTATAAATTTTTTATTTTTAAAAATTTTTTAATTATTAATTTTTTTATTTCAATAAATTTTTTTTTAATTTTTAATTTTTTTGAATTTTTATTTTTTTTGTTTTCTAATTTTTTTTTAATTTTCTATTTTGTTTTCAATTTTCAAATTTTTTTTAATTTTCAAATTTTTTTAATTTTCAAATTTTTTGTATACATTTTTTTGGTTAATATTTTTAAATTTTTTTGTTAATATTTATTAATATTTTTTTAAATTTTGAAATTTTTTTTTAGTTTTTTTTTTAAATTTTATTTTTTTTTTCATTTTTTTTTAATTAACAAAAAAAATTAAAAAAAATATTAATTTAATTTTTTTTGTTTTTTAGTTTTTTATTTTTTTATTTATTTTTATTTTTTTATTTTTTCAATATTCAAAATATTTTAATTTTTGATTTTTAATATTTTATTTTTAATTTTTATAAATTTTTTATTTTTAAAAATTTTTTAATTTTTTATTTTTAAAAGTTTTTTAATTTTTTTATTTCAATAAATTTTTTTTTTAATTTTTAATTTTTTTAAGTTTTTAATTTATTTAAATTTTTAATTTTTTTTTAATTTTTAATTTTTTTTAAATTTTTAATTTTTTAATTTTTAGTTTTTTAGTTTTTAATATTTTATTTTTAATTTTTTTTAATTTTTATAAATTTTTAATTTCTAATAATTTTTTAATTTTTAATTTTTTTATTTCATTAATTTTTTTTTAATTTTTAATTTCTTTAAATTTTTAATTTTTCTTATTTTTTGAATTTTTATTTTTTTTTTAGTTTTCTAGTTTTTTTTAATTTTCAAATTTTTTTCAATTTTCAAATTTTTTTTAATTTTCAAATTTTTTTTAATTTTCAAATTTTTTTTAATTTTCAAATTTTTTTTAATTTTCAAATTTTTTTTTATTTTTTTTATACATTTTTTTGGTTAATATTTTTAAATTTTTTTTGTTAATGTTTTTTAATATTTTTTTAATTTTTTAATTTTTTTTTTATTTTTTAAATTTTTTTATTTATTTCATTTAAATTTTTTATTTTGCTTTATTTTTTATATTTTGATATTTTTTAAATTTTTATGTTATTGTAAATTTTTATTATTATTATTTTCTATTTATTTTTATATTTATATTTTTCTATTTTTATTTTTATTTTTGTATTTCCTACATTTTTGGCTACACAGTGCTGCTCAACACCCAACAGTACAGCACACAAACTGCATTTAAACACTTTTACTCCAGAGAGTAAGAGAAGGAATTCTGTTGGAAGAAAATTCAATGGCAAGACTTTGTATTGTATTTCGAAAATGCGTATGCTAATGTGTAAAGCTTGTCTTTTATACGTACATATATTTATTGTTATTATTTGCCCAAAATAAATTTAAAAAAGACCGAGCTATCAAGCAATACGCTTTAAACTAGTAGCACACCGCGCATAATGTAACATCCTGCACTATATTACAGCAGGTATGCGTATATATGTATGTATGTGTGTATGTGTATACAAACCCTCCTCATTGAAACTCAGAACTTGTGCGAAATAGTCTGCCAATAAGCAATGTACAATCCAAATGTACATACATACATACACAGCCGCTTGTGAGCAACTTAACTTCCTAACCAACGTCCGGCGGTGGGGATGAAATTGAAAGGTGGCATAGACAAGCAGATAAACAGCATGAAAAACATACAGACACAAATGAAGTAAAGAGAAATATACATGAATGCTTTTCTTCAACCAACCAACCGACCGACCAACCATTGGCACGTACACAGCGCCGTACAGCGCACAGGTTGCTCGGTCCCTAAGCTCAAGTTCGCTGAAGTAGTTGTGTTCTAAGTTAACAAGATTAGATTAAAAAACTTTGCTTTTCATTTTCTTACTGTTTGTTGTATCCTTTGTTTTTTGTTTTGCTTTTTTTCGTCGCTATTTGTTTGTACATGTAAATGTGTGTATGTTTGTTTAATAAAGGATTCAAAGGCAATAAAACGCACGCACGCATACACAAACACACACACACTCTACACGAAATATTTACAAAAATGAAATGTAAAGTAGGAAAATTATTAAATTTTGTATAGTCTACGCACATAGCAGAGCGTAAATTTGCGTAAGTTAAAATTTAAAGCAAAACTACACAAGAGAATTTAACGAAAAAATGCAATTTCAGTAACTTCCAAACAATATTAGGCTACCTCCAGCCTCAAAGCAATAAAAAATCTTTGTAAATATGTATTTAAATATATGTATGCAACTGCTGATTTTGCGGTTGCGACAGATGTTTGAGTGTAATAATGGGAAACAGTTGGGGTTTATTTGATGATTTCTTCACATTTTACACACATTTGGCATACAAACTGATGAGAAAAATGAATTTTTTTTATATAAATCAATATAAAATATTTAGTTTTCTAAAATAACGTATACAACAAACATTCAGAAAATAAATGCAAGCATACTTTTGTATACATACATACATTTGTAATTATATGCTTAAAATTGTAATTGTCAGAAGTGGCCCATACATACATATGTATGTATGTATGTATGTACATTTTTTTTTTATTTATTGACGCATTCAGGTCATATTTTAAATGACTTTATTGGACACGCAGTGTCGCGTAAATACTAATTCCGCTGCAGTCATGGCAAGTAGGCGCGACAAGCTTGAAAAAATTGCATAAATTCAAGTGGGCATCTTGCTTAACTGACCAACAAACAAACAGGGAGCGAGCGAGAACGAACAGAAGATATTGAAAATTAAACCGGATTAATGCTGTGAGCGGCCGCCGGTGTGATGTGTGATGGTGAGCTTAAGTCTTGAACGCATCAAGTTGTATACACTTTAATAACAAAAAAGAACAAAAAAATAATAATAAAAATAAAAATAAAATAATAAAGTAATAAATAAATAATATTAAAAAAAGAAAAAAGAAAATACAAAAAAAGAATAAATATATTGAAAAACTAAAAATAAATAAAACAATAAAATTATAATAATAAAAATATAAAAAAAATTATAATAAAATAACAAAAATAAAATTATAACAAAACGATAAAAAATAAAGAAGAAAAGAAAATAACAAGTAAAAAAAAATTAATAATAAAAAATTATAAATAAAGATAAAAAAATAATAAATAAAAATAAACAAAATACAAAAAAAGAAAGAGCAGAAATTTTAACAAAAATAAAACATAAATAAAACAATAAAATTATAATAAAAAAATTAAAAAATAAATTTATAATAAAATAATAAAAAAAAAAAATTATAATAAAATAACAAAATTAAATTATAACAAAATGATAAAACTTGAAGAAAAGAAAATAACAAGTAATAAATAAATAAAATAAAATACAAAAAAAGAAAAAACAGAAATTTTCACATAAATAAAACAATAAAATTATAATAAAATAACAAAAATAAAATTATAACAAAACGATAAAAAATATAGAAGAAGAGAATATAACAAGTAAAAAATAAAATGAATAATACAAAAATAACAAATAAAGATAATAGAATAATAAATAAAAAAAATAAAATAAAATACAAAAAAAAAGAAAAAGCAAAAAATTTAACAAAAATAAAACACAAATAAAACAATAAAATTATAATAAAATAAGAAAAATTAAGATTATAAAAAATAGTAAAACAAAAAGAAGAAAAAAAAAATAAGCAAAAAATAAAAATAGTAATAAGAAAACAAATAATAAATGAAATTAAAAAAATAGTTAAAAAATATAAAAAAGCAATAAATAACAAAGATTAAAAAAAAACAAAAAAGAAAAAAAAAATTATTATAATATAATAAATAAAAAAAAAAAAAAAAATAATAAAAAATAAAATTATTACAAAATAATAAAAATTAAAAAATAAAAAAAAAGAAAATAACAAATTTATATATAAAAAAATAATAAATACAAAAATAAAAATAATACTAATAAAATAAAATAATAAATAGAATTCAAATAAATAAATAATATAACAAATAAATAATTTAATAAATAAATATAATAAATAAATCAAAAATAAAATAACAAAATATAAAAGGTAAACAAAATAAACTATATATGATTGCCGCAAGAGATTCCAGAATGGAGAGTGCGCATTCTTTTGCACTTACTTATTATATATACATATGTACATATGTACATATGTACATATGTACAATATGTACATATGTACAATAAGCATACATATGCACGCATTTTACAAAATGTATATACTTGTAGGTACTTAGTATGAAGCTTAAAAAAAAAGTAAGCATCAATTTTATGGCACGGAAAAGGCTTTCCCATGGCAATTTGAAATTCCAACTTCCAAGCACAAGTTGTCCTTTTTTCATCATCGCGCTTCATTAGGCAGTCATCAAATGATATCAAAAAGGGTTGTTGGGGGGCAAGACAAAAACCAATTATTTTGACAAGAAAGAAAGACGAAAATACAATACAAATGTGCATGTGTGCGCAATAAGGTTGTGGCGCTGTGTAGCTTAGATGTAGAAGAATTTTGTGTACATTTTGATTGAATCACGTTAAAAGACTTTAAAATCGCTTGATTTTTGTTGTTGCAAGCGCAAAATATATCGCCGCTGGAACGGATTTCAATAAATTAGCATTTCCGTATAACAAAGCTAACGAAGAGCGTAACCACGAAGCACCTGATCCGACTGGATACTCTCCCGACAATGCAATGAAATTGCTGATGACTTTCGCTGACCAAAAGAGTCATAAGAGGCGACTAAGATCACATTACTCACTCGGAACGGATTTTCAACCGGTCAAGGACTGCCAATAACATAACAGTGTTTTTTTCTTGCAGCATCTCACAGTGTTTTATACTCTTATATCATTTTTATACATTCTTATCGCATATTTAATTTCATTTTTCTAGCTAACGCAAGCAGCAACCTTTATGTTTTGTTTTAAATGTCCTGTCAATGTAATTATTTTTGTTGTTGTTGTAAGAAAATTGTATCTGCAATCGGCTTGCTGCACCATTCAAAACACATGCTACGCTTTCAATAATGTCACATAAGCAATATTTCGCCAGTGAAAACATTTCGACGGAAGAAGAAACGGCGTGGAGCGTGTAGTGATTGGGGCGTGGAAAATTAAAGTATTGTATAGGACATTACGTTGTGGAGTGTACGAAACGTGTCTGGCATCTATTACCACAAACATACATACACACACATATATATATGTGCATACAAGCAATATATACAATAGAAAAGTTGCTTTTGTTATTAAACTTTTTTTTAAACACAAACAACAGTCACTGAGCACGAGTTACTGTATGAATATATGTACATACATATGTATGCACAATTTATTTTATTTTAGACGTTATTAAATTCACAACTGGACGGTCGGTCAAGGCAATACGACTTACAAATAACGTATTTACATTGTCTTCTTTGTCACTTACCGGTTTTTTCCTTAATTTCACACAATACCGAAAACAAAGCCGGCTTCATGCGATGACAATTTAATGTATGCTTCCTTGCCTGCGCCTCATCCAGTGATTGCTCGGAAATGCTCATTATCTGCTGTAATATTTCGCCGATATCTTTTTGCTTACGCACCTCATTCTCATTGCCAGCATTTTGACCATCATCCTGGCCGGGCATGCCGTAAGCTTGTGGCGCCATCATACCACCCGTATGAGCCATCATACGATTGGGATCTTCCATATTGTATCGCGATGCAATGTCTAAATGCCGAATCTAAAATGGAAAAAATTAAAACAATAAAAAAAACAATAAAAAAAACAATAAAAAAAATTAAAAAATTTTCTTATTAAATTTGCATCTAAATATTGTACATATATATGTATGTATATACTGATTTAAAGTAAAACTATTGCAAAGATAGAAGACAAGTAAAACAATTGACTTCCTACAACAATAGCACAGCAAAGCGCACACGTCTCACTATCAACGAGTTTCGGTTGAAAACTAAAATCAAAACCAAGTGTTTGCCGACATCCAAGCCAATGGATTACAATACATTTCATACGTTCGCTTTTGCTCTCCAAATGCATAACACACCGGTGGCGTAGGTTGCTTTGCTCTCTCAACGCTGTGGTATGGTATGGGAAATATGTATGTCTATATGCTGAATGGATATCAGGCTATCAGCTACGCTACAATTGTTAATGCTTCCATTTCCAACTCAAAAAAAAAAAAAAAAAACTACAACGTTAATTAAATGCACAAAAGGATTCATCTTAGCTGAGAGTCTTCTTAAAGGAACAGGAAGCGACATATGCTAAATATGACGAAATCGAAGGTCATTGCACACCACTTTTAATTGCCTTCAACAATGTACTAAATTACAATTTTTTTTTTTTTTGTAAAACGTGTGCGGCCCCGAATTTCTTTGCGTATGCGTAACTGCAGGATGTCCAAACATTGCTCATATGTGCAACGCATGTTGGCTGTGAAGTGTTATCATGCTAAGTACGATTATTAGCCATTGTAATTTTAATTATTCTAATCATAACCTCACTTCTTTTGAGATAAGTTTTGTAAGTGGCACTATTTGTTGTAAAACACTGACCCTGAGATACGTATTATAGTGTAAATAATATCCTTATGACAAAAAAAAAAAGCGTAATTAAAATCAAAGGTTTTTCATGTCTAGTTCTGGCACAAGCATGGCGAAAAAGATACATTTATTCTTATTTGCAATTCGAATAAGTTTGCAGAGTTAATATATGTATGTCTAAAAAAATACTATTTAATGCTTACAAATTAGAGTAATTTTGTAAGAAACCACGCCTATATTTTTTGTTGATTGTTTGAAATAGAGCATTTACAAATGTACATACATACACGTATATATGTATTTCTATGAAACACACCATTTTTGCATGCTGTTGCATGCACAAATAATATGCAGATTTCCATTAATTTTTATTATAAGAACTAATGAGATTTCCCCAATCATTTAATTCCATGTTTTATTCTAATCATTCGAGTTGGAACTGCGCAATCCGTCCTACTACTTTTCTTCAGTATATAAATATTTATATACATTTGTGCTTGCATACAAATCTTAAATATACACATATTTACATACATAGGTAGGTACATAAAGAATTTTCTGTTTTTATTGTTATATGTACATAACATACATACCTATTTAATACTAGTACTTACATTTCGAGAATTCGTGCAATATTAGAAATAATCAAAATCTGTAAATGGGAAAATACAAATTAAGATGGTATTTACAGTTCAGATATTTTGTAAAACACAAAAACTAAATACAGTTTTCTGAAACACGGAATATACTAATATGTACATAAACAAGTGCATTATTCGTAGCGGCCGTGGGAAATAGAGTAGAGAAAATCAAACGAAAACGAGGAGGCGAGAAACACGAAAGCTAAGCCTCACAAAATAATTTTATCTTTTTTGCGTTAATATCAATATTTTACACAGATATACACGTGCGAAATAAATGTAATCAACTTCATAGAAAACACATTTTCACTGTTTATAGTTTATACGTTGCTAAATAAAGAACTATTTACCAATTTTTTATTGAAACAAATTTTACCACACGACAACAGCCCACCATCAAAAGCAAATCGCTCACGAGCATTGCCAGTTGAAAATTTTCAAGCTGTCACAAATCAGAATCCACACTGTCATAGGTGATGATGCCACTTGGAAGTTTGAAACATAACCGTAAATTTTCGTTATTAACGCGAATGAATTTTAAACAATTTCCTAAAATTTCAAATTTTTGTTATTTTATTGTAATACTATTATTTATTTTTTTTTGTGAAAGTTAAAGTAAAAGTGTACAATTCTTTGTTAAGTTAATTGGTATTGGCAATACAATAAATAACTGATCTAATTCCAATTAGAAAAGAAAGCTGGCAAATTTCTTTGATGTACTCAACCGCTTTCAAGTTATTCAAGTTGGATTATCTCAGGGTAAGTCCTTTTAAATAATTATAATTATTTGTTACTTAAATGACAATTTACCACTATACAAAACTAAAAAAATGAGTTCGACTACCGATTATCTAGCCAATTCCGTGGACCAACTGTTGGTCTACATTTTAAAGCCAACTGAGAGGCTTCATACATCCTTATATCTTATTGGAAATGCATCAGCCTAAATGTATGTATGTATGCTGATTTATTCAATCAATTTATACTCTTAAAATGGAGCTTAGGAATATAAAATTTCGTCTTTATCAAAAAAGCGTTAATGTGATAACGGTCAGAATAGACCGAATTTGTAGCCGTCCAAGGACTTTAACTTTCGCCACATTTCACAAAAACCATTCTGAGGAATAGTTTTGCAGGTACAAAAGAACAGCAACAAGGGACTTATGTGCCTGACGCTAAGCTGATTTTTCAGGCAAACATAACCTATAAATTTTTTTTCAAATTAAGCGCAAAGTTTTGTAATTTTCCGATATAATATTATGTTTATATTTTAATTAATAATTAGTTTGTAGTTACAATCTCAATGCTGACAAAAGTTTTCGCTCATATACATATGTAATTATTCTACTTAAAATTTTAAATTAAGATATAGTGTCACACAAAGTTGAAGACATTCCATTTATGAGTTTCCATAATTTATAAGGCTAAGCCAAAGGAAAAAAAAACAGACAATTATATGTATATATTCCGTCATACAATACAGCTGGTGTCCAGCCTATTCATAGTTATTAACAGATCACGCATAAAGTACTGAGTGACGTATGTATGTTCACAACATAGTGATCAAAGTTAAAATCATGTTTTAAGTATCCATTTGCCGACGTCTTCCATTACTTTCTATACTAAAAGAAAGTTTTCGCTTTTTCGCTAGTGATGCCGATTTCTTCTCATTCGGTTTATCACAATTGTAGCATCGGATCAGCATCGCTAGATATTGCCCGCACTGTTATAGAACTGGAAATTACTGAAGTTAACGGGTGTTTTCGGGCTGGGACATTGATAGAAATCTTCACTATGTAACTGTGTTTGTGTCATATTTGGTTCACTAGCACTGCGATGAATTTTCGGCATTGCTCTTAACATATTTTCCAACATATTCAATAATGGCCGAAATAGTGGACGATCGTTGCGATCAAATTTTATGCAATCTTCAGCCAAACGCTTCAAAGCTTGTGGTGCATCTGAGCGCACTTTAGACATATCGGGTCGCAATAGGCCACGACCGACCATATATAATATTTGATCTTTATTATTGATGTGGCTATATGGCAAACATTCGGCTAATAGCTCATAAATAACTATACCAAATGCATAAACGTCTGATTGGAAGGAATAAGGATTCTGTTCCAGCATGCGTACAACTTCTGGTGCCATCCACAATATGCTTCCAGTTGGTTGATTGGCTTGTTTTTCGCCAGACCAACGTGTCTTCGCAGTTGCCAGACCGAAATCACCTATTTTTACAGACAAATCTTCGTGCAAAAATATATTATTAGACTTAAGATCTCTGAAAAGAAAATTACAAATTATAGAGATACAAATTAAGAACTTTTGTTAATGGGATCTTGCCATGCATACCTGTGAATAATATTTTTTGCGTGCAGATAATCCATACCCTGTGCCACTTGCCGACCAATGTCGATCAGTGTATTAAGTTTAAACTTGGTTTCATTTACATGTATATGTTTATACAGGCTAGAACCTTCGCACCATTGCGTGACAATTGCTAAGGAGGGTTTTGAAACACAACCCATAAATAAGAGTATATTACAATGTCTAGTCTTTTTGAGCATGGCCACTTCATTTTTAAAAGCCTGCAATTGCACAGGACTGGGAGTTTTGACATTTAATGTTTTCACCGCAACAGGACCATGCCAGTGTGCTTTGTATACGGTTCCAAAAGAACCAGAACCAATTCTTGGACCAATTAATATTTCTTCCGCTTGTATATTCTAAAATTTAAATAATTGGTGATTTAAACAACACAATTTTTTTTTAATTTATCAATAACACCACAGCGTACCCAATTTTCTTCCGTACCCTTGCCCTCACGTGGCGATAGTAGATTCTTGTTGCTCTCATCCGCCGAGCGTGCTCTTTGTCGTTTGATAGTCTTCAAAGTACCGGTTGGTGATGCTTGGGTGGAATTCGGATGATCGTTAACTGGATGCTGTAACTGTTTCAATATGCAATCACTGGTAATTTCTTATTTTTATATATACATATTGGTTTATAGTCAATACCTGTATAGGAACATGATTTTGCACTAAACATCGTTGTGCCTCTGTCAATGGCCGATTTTGGCAAACATTAGGTGCGGAATTCGAACGATCTTGTTGACTTATAGTGCGTGGATGTCTTCCTTGATTTAATACTGCATGCCTTCCCGGATGTAGTATACCAACAAAACTTTCGGGATTTTGTGCCAAAAGCCGCTGATAATAGTTATCCATAGGAAATTGTTGACATAGTGTAGGTACTTTATCAGAGCATCGCTGATGAAACCGAAAATTACATTGACTACAATAAAAGCCACTGAATAGCAGCCGTCGACAACCCTCGCAAAATGCCAAGGAAAAGAAGGTTTTTCTTATAAACTGATGTGAAATATGTGTCATAATAGGAAATTTGTCTAATAAGCGTACGTATATTTCTTCAACCATTAGTGTACCGATGTCAGTATCCCATGGTATGATACTGCGACCACATTCAGTAGCAGTCACCTCACACATATCTGGTTTCAATTGCCGCAATTTAAGCGCTTTCATTAGCGCTTCACGCAATCGAACACCAGGTACAACTTCCACAGATGTGCGCTGTTGATTAGGTAGATGTGCACGTAGTAGAATTTTTGGTGGTCGCGTCAATGTGCTGCATTGGCTGCCATTATTACTGTTCGAAGCATAACAGTCGGTCTGGAGTTGAAATAAAGTAAGAACTATTAAGGTCATACAAATGCTTGTCGGAAATACTTAAAATCCATATACCGTGTCTATTGATGTTATCTGCCCATGTTGGGACGTCAACTGATGCTGATTTTGGTAATTATGTGTTTGATTATTATATTCAAGTTGATTCTTTTGTTGATCCACTTGGCTTGCTTCCTCTTGCTGACAACTTAGCTGCTCCATAAGTTCGTGCTCTTTTACGAAGAGATCATGCAATTTCGAAGTAAGCTCTTGGTACTCCGTAATATACATTGGTGGCGGTTCTTGTAGATTTGCAAATTTTGCATTAAGCGCATCAATATTTTCACGCGTGACATGTATGACAGATTGTACATTTTGTAATTCCTCTGCGAGGGGGTCATACAGATCCCCACTGTCATCTGTCGAGGAGGTGCTAGACATATTGGCACTTAGTTTCTTTCAAAGTAGTTTGCTACCGATCAAAAGGAACTGTTTACAGCAGGACACCACAAACAAACTATAAACTTTGAATAATACAAAACATTCAATACTTAACAAATACTTATAGTATAGATTCACAGCTGTCGAATTAACATATATAAACGCGACTACAACTAGCCTGCAAATATTGAAAATGCAAAAGGTTTTTATAGTGCATAGCTTGATTTAGACTTTAAAAATACTACAAGAAAAATATGGTTTTTGGAACTTTGAATTGTCAAAACTTTTCTTTAAAAACAAAACAAATATTTTTTTTCGCCTTGCCAAATACATAAGTATTATTCACATACACATAAAGCCGGATTGAAATTGGCAGGGTTGCTTATAAATGTTTTAATTAAAAAAAAAACTAAAAAACTTTGATTTAATTTTAACAATTTTCGTTTGTTTTAAATGAAAAATGTATAACATAAGGCAAGTTTTTACAGTATGAACTTCTTACCACTTTTGCGAAATACAGGTGTGTGGGCTTTCAGTCCAATTGCATCTGTCAGCTGTTTTATTTCCTTTACCGTATACCAGCACATTTACAAATACAACATTTTTGATGCCCTAATACTTTGTAAAACTTCCTGCTCTAAATGTTGATTTTTATTTTTGCGCTGCAAATTAATAATTAATTTTAGTAAAATTCCAATAATGAACGGTGGATCCTTGTAGAAGTTAAGTAAAAGGAAAAAGTAAGCGTGTTTTCACCTTTCAACCTTTCGGCAGTTAACGTAGACTTTCCAACTATACTTAAAATCTTTCCAAATTATTTGAAATATTCTTTAATTCAATTTAGGTTCTTATAGAAGCGTAAATCGTATTATTTTTAGCATTTTCGAAGTTTTTTTATCCTGCCAACAAACACTTATATGACATTGAATTTGCTTAAATATGCGATAATCATTGTTGTTGCCTTTGCTGCCACAAAATACGCAAGTTGCAAGGATACTGAGAATAGGGTTACCTATTCTCAAAAAAATCCTTTCTGTTTAATTTTTCAGTTTTACAGACAAATAAGTTTGTTAAAACTTTTTATTTTAGAAACAAAATTCTTACATTTTTATAAGGAGCCTTCATATAAACGTGCTAATGGCTGATAAACCTGTTATAATTATCCCCTGATAAAAAAGATTAAATATTTGTTTCAAAAAATATTTGCAATGGATAAATATACAAAAATATCGCTTTATCCAATTAGACGAAGCCCTATATTTTTTATTTCTTGTGTTATAATTGTTATAATTGATTTAAAAACAATTAAAAGGTGTTGACGTTTACTGAAATTTACTCTTCGGTTTTTTTCGTTTACAAAACAATGCATTGAGTGGCAACACCATGACTTATATCGCGCTTCGCTGAATAAAGACCTCATTTGCTGAATTCCTGCCTGTCTGATGCGTTTTGCACATAATTTTTTCGTTTTGCAAACGTTTTTTGTGCAAGTTATGGAAATAAATGAAATTTGGTGAAAATTATTTATTATAAATTGTAAGCTAGTGAGCAAAGTACGCGTGCTTATCAAAATGGACGAAGGTAAGTCTGATTTGAATTAAAATATAGACTTTATACAAGTGCAATAGTTGTACTTCTTGAATCACTTGAATTTCAAGAAAGCGTATATTTGTATGTACAAATGTACATGCGCAACTGTGAAATAAATTATAAATTAATTATTTTCTGAAATTTAGATTATCAACCACAACCTTCGGCGGCGAAGAAAATCGGTAAGCAACACAATACTTTGCCGCTATGGGGAAATGAAGCAACCATGAACTTAAATCCACTTATACTTGCTAACATACAGGGCTCTAGCTATTTCAAAGGTACGTCCCGCAAGGTACAGTAGCAAAATACATTTCATATTAGTTTGAAAAGTTATGATAGTTAATTTCCATAATATAAATTTTCAGTGCATTTGTTTAAACTTAAAACTTATCACGAAGTTGTAGATGAGATTTATTACCAAGTAAAGCATATGGAACCGTGGGAGCGAGGATCACGCAAAACATCTGGCCAAACTGGCATGTGTGGCGGAGTGAGTTTATGAAATGTAGCATTTCGTTTTAAAGGGCTTTGTAATTTGACAAAAGCCAATTGCAATACTTAAGCATTATTAGTAAATGTAATTGTATTGTACTTTTATTTAATAGGTACGTGGAGTTGGCGCTGGGGGCATAGTTTCAACGGCATACTGTTTGCTATATAAACTGTACACACTAAGGCTGACCAGAAAGCAGGTTAACGGACTCCTTAACCACACAGATTCACCCTATATAAGGGCACTAGGTAGGTGGTAAGTCAATAGGTGTTAAAAACACCATTTTCGAAATTTATCGACATTTATCAGTTCAAACCAGTACTGCATATGGAGGGGTTGTACAAATGTAACATTAAAATAATGTTAAGATTTAAGTGCATAAAGCAATTCAATTAATTGTATTTTTTTTAGGATTCATGTACCTTAGATATACTCAGCCGCCAGCTGATTTATATGACTGGTATGAGGACTATTTGCAGGATGAGGAAGAGATAGACGTTAAAGCTGGCGGTGGGCAGGTGAGTCGATTGTATGAGTCAAATACCTTAAGCCAGAATAGTAACAACTAAATAGACATACAATACAAATATTACTTTTTTTTCTATAAACTGTGCAGGTGATAACTGTCGGACAAATGGTGTATCAATTTCTGACAAAACTCGACTGGTTTTCAACTCTCTTTCCGCGTATACCAGTTCCAATACAGAAGCAAATAGAAAAGAAATTGGAGGAGTATTGTCGTAACAATAATGTTACTACCCAGCAGCTTGGTTCAGCTCGAAATACAGCATCAAATAACATGGGTGCAAATTATGATTACGATGATGCAAGTTATGATCGTCGGGGTGCTGGCGCGGGTAGTAGCCGCAGTCGTCTACCACCAGCCAATAGTGGGAGTTATCGTGATGAGCACGACGATCGTGAACACTATTCCAATAGTCTTCAACAAAGACGACGTGAAGATTCACCTTCGAGCACGTATCACAGCAGTAGAGATCGTGATCATCATCGTGAAAAGCATAAAAGAAAGCACAAGCATAGACATCATTCCAGAAGTCGAAGTCGTAGTAAAAGTCGCAGTGAGCGAAGGAAGGAAGTCCAGTATGATAAGGACCGTGAACGTGACCGAAATAGAACTAGGGATAGAGACTATGAACGTCATGGTCGGGATTATGACGATCGTCGTTATCGATGAAAACTAGAAAAACAAAAGTAGAGCAATAACGCAGACATATGCACAAAAAATTTCACGCCGTACAGTAATAAATGAAGATATTGAGAATATTTTCCACCTTTCTATAATCCACAAATCATTGCTTATAACATTTCCCATTTACAAGCCATTGTTAAACTCAGGATGTCTGTTGTTTTATGTTTTCATTTAAATGTATACACAAAATAGTTATACAGGTTTATATGTTACAGTAGTTACTGAAAATGTTTTTGCCTAATGCTAAAGATAATTGAATAAAAACAAAACAGCTTCATGATAGCCCATGAAGAATCATTATACATCTGTGTTTTATTTTTCAACAAATTCTCAATCTCGATGTGAAAATCGATGGCGTAAAAATTCCGACTGTAAACAACCCAAATTTACTGAGAATTACATTCGACAGCCTGAGAAAAAGATATAGATACGTTGTTGGCAAGCTCTAAGGCAATTGGCAGTATAAAAATAAATAATAAAAATAAAAATTATTAAATAATACAAAAAAATAAAACAAACAAACAAATAAGTAAAAATTAATTAACGAAATCAAAAATATTAGCAATGAAAAAAATAATAAAACCAATTGAAAATAAATATTAAACAAAAAAATTTAAATTAATAAAATTATAAAAATATAAACAAAAATATAATAAAAAAAAATAGAAATAATAAAAAAATTAAAAAAATATAAATAAATGAAATAAATTAAAAAAAAAAATAATAAAAAAAAAATAAATTAAAAAAAAATAATGAAAAAAATAAAATATTAAATAAAGTGAAATGAATAGAAGAAATTATATAAGATAGTTAAATAAAAAACATAATTAAAATAAAATTGAAAAAAATACAATAAAAATAATAAAAATATAAACAAACAAAATAAAAATAAATAAAATAAAAACATAACTAAATAAAATAAAATGAATTTTAATAATTTAAAGTGAAATGAAATAATACAAAATTAAAGTAAATAAAATAATAAAGAAACAAACTAAAAATAATTTAAAAAAAGATTGAATAAAAAAAAAACAAAATAAAATGAAATAAAAAAAAAATTATAAAATAAAATGGAATAAAAAAAATTAAAATATATAATTGAATTAAAAAAAATTAATAAAATGTAAACTATGAAAAAAAAACGGAATAAAAATAAATCAAATATCAAACGAAAATAAAATAAAATTAAATAAGCATATCATAAAAAATTAACTAAATACAAAATAATATTATATAAAACGAGAAAAAATTACAAAAATTCATTAAAAAAAAATAATTTAAAATAAAATAAAACAATGAAAAAAATTAAAATAAAAAAATGGAACAATGAAAAAAATGAACAAAATAAACAAAAGGAAATGAAATAAATTGAAATAAAATAAATTAAACTAAATAAAAAGATAATAATAAACTAAAATGTGAAGATTAATAAAGTTAAATGAAATGTTATAACGTTAAAAAAATAAATAGAATAAAATAAATTATTAAAATTATAAAAATATTCACAATAAAAAAATAAAACAAAATAATAAAAATAAATTAAATGTAAAGAAAAAACAAAATAAAAACTATTAATGAAATAGAATAAAAAATAAAATAAGAATAAAAATATAAATGAAATACAATAGAATAAAAAATAAAGTTAAAATATAATATAAATAAAATAGAATAAAAAATATAATTAAAATAGGAATAAAAAATTAAAATAATTAAAATTAAAATATATAAAATAAAAAATAAATTGAAATAAATGTGGAATAAAAAAATAAAAATTAAAATTAATTAAATAAAATTAAAACAAATAAAATAAAAGTAAATTAAATTATAATGGAATTAAAAAATAAAAATTAAAATTAATTAAATAAAATAAAAGGAAAATAAAATAAAAATGGAATAAAAGAATTAAAACAAATATAAATAAAATAAAATAAAAATGAATAAAACAAAAATATAAAATAAATAAAATATAATAAAACAATAAAAAACAATAAAAATAATAGAAGTACAATAGAAAATATAATAAAATGAAAATAATTTAAATAAATAAAATGGAATGAAAAAGGAAAAATATATAAATATAAATAAAATAAAGTAAAAAAATTAAATAAAAAATAAAACTAAAGATTAATGAAATAAAATTGAATTAAAAATAATTAAATAAAAGAAAAATAAATAAAATAAAAATAAATAAAACAAAAATAAATGAAATAAAAATAAATAACATGAAAGTAAAATAAAATAAAATTTGATTAAAAAAAGTAAAAAAAAAATTTGATTGAAAAAAATAAAAAAAAATAAAATTTGATTAAAAAAAAAATAAAAAAAAATTAAATTTGATTAAAAAAAATGAAATTCAAATAAATAAAATAAAAATAGGATAAAATTAATAACATAAATATAAAATAAAATAAAAGTAAAATAAATAAAATAACTTAAAAAAGTAGTAAAAAATAAACGAAAAAAATGAAGTGCAAAGTATTGTATAATAAATAAGAACAAAAAAATAAAAATAAAAATAGATTAAAATAGAGTACAGTAAAATTCATCTACATATGTATGTATATATAATATTGTTAAAAGCATTCCTCTGCTGAAACTACAATATTTGTCGTACGATATAATTAAGTAATAATATTGTTTGATTAAGAGCACAACAGGACCATGAGTCTTGCACTGCTGGCATTGAAACTCCTCTTTCTTCTCATTAACACTAATAAAACGCCAAGAAAGTCAATGTTTTGGTACAAAAGACGAAATGCGACACCTCATTTCGCAGCATTTAGTGCAAACCAGCTTCTCGGGCCGGTAATTGTTAGTTGGGAAAATGGGTGTGTAACGGTTTATTTGGTTGGTACTCAAATATTGAATGAATCTGACATTGCGAAAGAAATTGGCAAACTTTTCTTCTTCCATCCCTTGTTCCGTTCTTTCACATATAATACATATACATATAAATATATACGTATACGTATTTATTATATTTGCTTTTAAAATGTGTGAAATAATTCCTGTTTAATGAAGTTTCTTTCTTTTGCCGCATAAAGCAAAGGAGAATTTATTTTGTGGAGATAATCTTATGCGACAGTTGAATTTAGTTCTTCGGCTTACGGTGGGTATTCATTGAAATGGCAGGTGTGCCCTGAGTTCGTTTTGCATGAACAGAACGAAAAGGATCGTAGTGTCCGGATATTTGTAATGTGTGAATGAGCAGATAAGCAACTAACACGTGTTATAGGCAAGTATGTATGTTTATACATGTGTATATTTGTATGTATGTGGTAAGCAGACCGAAGGTGATTATTGAAATGCGATTACTTTGGAAGAAACTGGACTAAAATTAGCATTTAAATTAACAATGTTGCTAAGATTGGAAAAGAACCTGGTAAGACTTAGATTTTTTTTTAAATCTTTCCACTTTCCATTCATTATTTTTAGGTTATACGGTCCAAAGCCACTGCAAGAACCGAACGGTATGTTGACGAACGCACACATTGCGACATTGGGCCGACTTATTCACTGTCAATTGGGTTAGGCTTCTTATGAATAGGACGCAGGAAACATAGAATCCATTTTTATTGTTGTTGTCGCTGCAAAATTATTTCTCAAACTGGCTTTTTGGTAATATTGTGAGAGTGACAGTGAGTTGTGCCGGTGTAAATACTCAACTGTCGTGGGCATAATTGGTTTTTAGTCGCCTCTTTTGACGCGCTCGGAGTAAGGCTTCTGCAACTTTTGTTCCTAAGACTGGCTATCTAACTATTCGAGCTACATCATAATGAGACTATCAATCGTCCTTTCTATTATCCAAACGAGTTCGAGTGCTGATTGCTCTAGCGTTCCATTAGACGTATAGCTAAGTAGGCTCGAGTAGAGGAGTTCTTCGCTATACTTAAGATCTCTGATGAATAGAAACCGCCTTAAGACCTCAACGGACCTATATATCGAGGTGGGTTGTGGCGTGGATGAGCAAAGGTGTAAGGTGGCATCAATATCCAGATGGAGGACAGTATTTGATTTAGTAGGTGCGATGGCAGGAAATGACTAGATTAAAAACACCCACTCACCAATGCGTGCGGGATGTAAGAAGTCGAAGTGGTGTTGGGTGTAGAACTGGAGACAGAAGCGAATCGAAAGATCGAAAACTCGGTGTTTGGACTGGAAATGTGTTCCAAATGAAAGAAGTCTAAGTAGTACCGGGAGCGGCATCCAGTTCCTTCCAATTGCCTAACAGAACGAGATGTGCACTAGTGTTTGTGCTGAGAACAGGCATACGAAGAGTCTGAAATGAAAAAATGTGCTGCAGTGTAGACTGAAGCGTGCCTGAGGATCGCAATCTTGGCTTTTCTACTGGGAGTGGCCATATGAAGCGTCTGAAATGCAAAAAGGTTGCTGCGAGCGGCTTGCAGATCCTTCCAACCGCTTACAGAAGAGGATCTGAGTGTGCGTACAATGCGTCCGAAGCCGAAAACGTCGATGTAGTGTCGGAATCGGCATCCAGATTCGTCTAACCGGCTGATAGAAGATTATCCGAGCATCAAAATCTTGATGTCTCTGCTGAGAGTGGGCATACAATATGTTCGCAGCAGTAAAGGTTTAAGTATTGCACGGAGCAATACCAAGCTCACTCCAACCGGCTGATAGAAAGAGCTCGGAGGACCGTAGTCTCTGTGTTTCTCGGAGTGGAGGTGGTGGTCATATTGTGCGTCCGAAATGTTAAAAGTTGTAAGAAGCGGCGCACAAATCCTTTCAACCGGCTGACAAAAGAGAATCGAAATATCAGACTCTCAATTTTTCTACTGGCAGTGAGCACATAATACGTCCGACACTGTAAAAGGTTAAGCACTGTTCGCTGCAGTATTCATAACATTCCAACCTGCTGTTAGAAGGAGATTGGAGAGCCGGATTATCCGCCTTTATGTCTGTCTTCATCCACATTTTTCCGCCACGAAACGAAATCTCGTGCTCAAAGCTGCACTGCAGAGGTTTTACCAGCTGTCCAGCAGTTTCAGAAAAGAATTACCACATCCTCATGGGCTTTCAACAAACGCGCTGCAACCAGTAATGCCCGGCGCATCCGCTGCTGAAATACTTTGTGTTCGGAAGTTGGCTGAGACGTTTTAGCTCGAACAAAAAAAGAAGAAAAAAAAGAAAGAAACTACTTAGCCTCTTCTTGAACTTGAACTACGCACACAGCAAGACGCTTCCGTTTCCGAGACATCATAAGAGAAATCAAAAAGTTCCACAAAAATTTTGGGCGCACTTTTTTTTGGATTTTAGATTTTCATAAATATTTGCATAATTA